AGGAAAGCCAAACGTGGAAGTTGCACCATAGATTTCAGCAAGGTTATTTCGACATGAGCCGAAGAAATGCTTGGATGCGAGTCCGAGTGGATATGCTTTTATGGTGGAGCATGATGGCGAAAGCTATGAAAAATTTCATCAAAGTGAATAGTGGCTGTCAGATGAGCCAAAATCGCAAGGTGGAGTTTGTTGGGTTTTGCTCTTTGTCCCACATCGATTGTGGAATGAAAGAGAGAGAGATTTTTCTCCTATATAAGAAAGTGCTACTTCTTATGTAAAATCATCCCACAGAGTTATTGTGTAACAATTAATCTCTGATAAAAAATTCCTTAGGGTAAAAATTCCTTAGGGTGAGAGTTAGGGTTAACGAGTAGAAAATTCTGTGGGGTAATTTTGGGTATAAGTGAGTGTAGAAAAATTGTGTAATTTTTACATAGTGGATTTTCTACGGCCTTGTTGCCCTGGTGGTTTTTCCCTCTTCGTTAACAGAGGGTTTTCCACGTTAAATTTTGTGTTCTCCAGTTTTATTATTTTCAGTAGATCTTGGGCGGAGTTTCGGTGTGGTCGGAATTCCCAACAAGATCATCTCTTTAATTTTAAATTCCATAAAAAATATATGAAGTATTGTTGTAAACAAGTAGAACTACGACAAGCCGAGCTGAGCACAAGCTTCTGATATTCGAGCTAGATCTTGAGTTTTTATCGAACCGTGTCGAGCTAAAATTTTGCTTGTTTTTTAATATCATCGAGACAGACTCGATATATAACGAGCTAAACTAACGCCAATTTCTAAAAAATGACAAGAAAATTTTTTAAGTCTTATTGAGTTGATACTTATTAAACAAATAAATTTTAATCAAGTCAAACTGTCTAACGACTTGTTTCTTCTTATAGCCTTTTGGCTCATAAGTACATTGTATTAGCATTCTCTAATAATTTTTTTTTTTAATGAGAAATATTTCTTAATTTTATGAAATAACTAGTACAACACCCGTGGCCGTATATTACATGAGTGCTTGTTAAAAAATTATTCTTAAATTTTAAAATTACTGAGAAAACAATATTAAATTTAGTTTACTTTTTTTACAAAAAAAAATATAGAACTATATATTTTAAAATGATATGTGTTACTTATGACTTATGTGTTATATTATATTAGTTTTTATAACTTATATTATATAACTACTTGAAATATAAATATATTAGTTGATAAATAATTTTATTTTTCTAATTAATATTAAAAATAATTTTATTATTGTTATAAAGATAAATATAAATTATTTTTTATACATACAATGTGGATGTTAAATCGAAACTCATCAAAAGAAAATTAATTTGATATTGTTATCATCCGACTCGGCAAGACGCTGTTAAGAGGTTTTGAACATCTTATTA